CCCCCCCCCCAAGCCTTCAGTTGCTTAAATATGCCCCTTCGGAGTTTTACATAAGCACTCTCTTAGGAAACAGCAGGGCAGGAAAATGGAAAACACATGCTTATCTGAGAAATTTCTCAACTACAGTGACTTTGCAGAGCATCCCAGAATTACGAATCTCTGAAATTACAGAAGCGTTCCTCTCATCAGAACTTGCCTTTTCAAGTGTGAATCTGTGATTCATCAGAAATATGCCCCTTCGGAGTTTTACATAAGCACTCTCTTAGGAAACAGCAGGGCAGGAAAATGGAAAACACATGCTTATCTGAGAAATTTCTCAACTACAGTGACTTTGCAGAGCATCCCAGAATTACGAATCTCTGAAATTACAGAAGCGTTCCTCTCATCAGAACTTGCCTTTTCAAGTGTGAATCTGTGATTCATCAGCATTTCAGGCTGGGTAGTCCTAGTCCTGTATATCCTTTACACATTCTTCGAGTGGCATGGTCAGTTTCCTGAACAGATCAGATTCTTGGACTTAAATAGAGCCTTCATTTCAATAAAGTTTGCTCATACTGAGGGATAGAAGGAATAAAACAATTAATCCCCTAAAGTGACAAGAACTAATCGTAACAATGGATTATCAGAATTCTAAATACAACCTCATTGTTAAAAACTTAACACTTTAGAAAAATGTGCAGGTACACAAATAGCTTTACTCTTACTCATTTTTGATTAGTATAATCATTTGATTGGTTTTTTAGCAAAGCCACTACACTTGAGAGAACCTATGGACCTGCATGGATAGCATATGGGCATTCATTCGCAGTTGAGAGTGAGCATGACCAAGCAATGGCTGCCTACTTCACAGCAGCACAACTGATGAAAGGGTATGTCAGAAGTGGATTGTGCTATTTTATATGAAATGAAATTCTGGGAAGTTTAAAAAGCTGTCCAAAAGTATTGTAGGGGTATGTTCTCTTCATTTACCAGTAAAAATACATTTAGGGCTAAACAGAAAACAAGACAGGAAAAGAATAGGAACTTTTTTTCAAATTCTGGTACACGTTGAGTACATCATTTTTGTCTGAGTGTTTCTTCTCACTGGTTTCTCGTCTAAATGGGACTTATTTCCTGTGGTTAACACGATTTCTCTATTTTCTACATACTGTACTCACTTTGACTTCTAGGATTTAATGCAAGATATTCAGCCCAGACCCACATGTTGAGGATACAGCATAAAGCAAGAGCTCACTCATTTCTGAATTAGCAGGAGAGAGTCAAGGTCTCTCTGACAAGACCTAGTACTGAACCCCCATTGCCTTTTTCTAATCATTTGGGATAAATCTTCTCCTGCCTCTAGCTTATCTAGTTGGTCTTTTTGTCTAGTTCAAGATGCTCAACCTCTGGCCCATGGGCCAAACCCAGCCTGTGGAGCCATGGCACATGGGGTTCCCCATGGGTCAGAAGATTTGGAGGTGGGAAGCAGTGACAGTTAATACTGCCATCCCTCCCCACTGCTAAATTCCCATACCCCAAGTTGGCTGGGTCAGGGCTTGGTAGGTCCCCTTTCTTTTGTGCAGCTGGATTTTGGCTGGACCATACCTCCTTCTCCCCTACAAGGCTGGATTGGAGCTGGGCCACTCCCCCTCCCCCTCTGTGGCTGGATTGGGGCTGGGCTGCTCACATAGCTGCTCTGTGTACCAGATCCAGTCCATCTGCCAGCTCTGGCCTGTGAACAGACCCGGCACCGCCCATTCAGCCCACAGGACAAAAAGATAGAGCACTATTGATTTAGTTTGAAGCAGTCTATACTGTGCTGTTGGAGTTTGAGCTCTATTGCAAGTGATGCTTAAAAGGAATTTCATGGCTGCATGCAACACTTCAAAAAAAATCTTTTATCTTTTAAATTAATTTGCAACCTAGGACTTTTTTTTAACATAGGGTTATGTTAAAATTGGTTGTTTAGGTTGTAAAATCATGCACTTTCATGTTAGACTTTGTCAGATGTATGGCTGCACGTGGGATGTTAATTGCGCTCCTTCCTGTATGTATCATAATATGATTATAATTTCATAACTGCATACAGTGTGCCTCTTATTTGGGATGGATGTATAAAAAGAGAAAAATTAAGGTTGGCTGCACAGTTTTGTTTCCTGGCCCAGTTTAAAATAAGCAGAATATAAATTAGGTAAATGAAACTCCCCTGAAGTTTTATGTGAATCTCCTATATTTCATTGCATATTAGAAGCTGCTATTCAGTTGAATAGCTGTTCCGTTTTATTCCAGAGGTAGTAGCAAACAAAAATAATAGTAGATTAATGGATCCTTGTATACATGCAACATTTGGGGATACAGTGTAGTGTAGTCTATTTGCATGCATACATTGGATAATTACATAACTAACTTATTTGTGTGACAATGCCAGTCATAATTTTTTTGCCTGTTGCTTAAACCAGACGTGCTCAACCTGCATCCCCCGACACGGCATCATCCATCCTTCAGGTCTGTGGGGAGTCCTGTGGGCTGTGGCCCTGTGCATCAAGTCAAGTGCACGGAGCAGTGTGAGGTCCAATCCTGGCGCTGAGCCCTGGGATCCATCCTGGGATCAGGCAACAGCAGCCCGCAGACTGGCCCTGTGCTCCTCATCTGGTCCATGGGGCCAAAGGTTGAGCACCACTGGCTTAAACTATAACAGATTTCAGTTACCCACATACTGGTGGAGTTCTTAAACTTTTTAAGCGCATAGCATTTTTCAGGCCCGCTCTTGCTTTGCATTGTGAGTATAATAGTAGTTTGCCTCGTGACAGAAATAGTGAACAGAAAGCAACTGTTGAAGAGCTGCTGTTAGAAGCCTTGAGAGCTAGGCAGCTGGGGGTGGGGGGGGAGGGTGCTATTAGAAGCTTTAAAATAAGGACAAATAGCAGCCCTGAAACTTGCTAGCTTCCCTTATTTTCAAAGCTTATAATAGCAACCCCACATTTACTATTAGAAGCCATGACAATGGTTGTAATTGATCAGTTTTGGAACTGCTACTACCAAAGTCCTGATGGCGCTGTGTACTTAAACAAGAATTGTTTCAGTAAATGCATACCTTTCCCCCTCTAGTCCTGAGGCTGAGGTGTTACATCTATGAAATGGAATACTAACTACAGGATTATCAGTGTCCATCTATCTTTTTCAGTTTATAGGTGAAAAAAAATACCTAGATTAAACTCAGAATTAATTTGGGGAAAGTTAGGAAAATATCCACAGTGATTTCCAGACTAAAATACTATTAAACATAATGAATTTTTTCTTGTTAACTAGCTGGAGTGGGCTGTTTTTCCTCAGAAAATAACCCTTCAGGATAGGACTTTGGGAATCCACTTTGCATGGTAGTGTTACATGATAAATATTTTTTAATATTCATTATTTAAGATATACTGAAAACATTTAAGTTTGTGATGCAGTTTATAAGATTTTTGCAAACATTTTCCATGCTGAGTAATAAATATATGAAATGTTCTGTTGTCTTGTAGCTGTCACTTGCCAATGCTGTACATTGGACTGGAGTATGGTTTGACCAACAACTCAAAGTTAGCCGAAAGGTTTTTCAGCCAAGCCTTAAGCATCGCACCTGAAGATCCTTTTGTTATGCATGAAGTCGGAGTGGTTGCTTTTCAAAATGGAGAGTAAGTAATGGAATAAATAGGTCTATTTTATTAAGTAATGTGTTCAGCTCACCATGGAGATAATACAAGTTCAAGACTCGGGTGCAGTGCAGGAGCTGGGACTGCCTGGCATTGCATCAGAGCCAGTTCAAGATTGCCAGCAGCACAGACCTTACTCACTTCATGAATCCAGGAGCAGGAGTGACACCCTCTCCTGGGCTTGGCTTCCTGTGACTTCCACTGCCAGTGGCAGGGACCTAGCTGGCCCCAGCATGCCAGAGGCAGACACTTCCAAGCTGGGCAATGGGGGGAATATTGCAGGCAGGGCACAGGCTCTAAACATTGGGAGTTACATGTTCTCACAGACAGACATGTGAGCTTCAGTACCCAGTGCTAGGGTTAGTACCCTGGGGCAGGGGGGAGGACCCTGCTGGCTCTAGACCTGTCCAAAGTGGGCTGAGATCATAGTAAGCATTACCATGCAACAGCTCAGAACATATTCTATTTTTTTTAATATGGTACAATAATGCTTATAATGATTTCAGATTGAATATATGCAAAATCCCATGCAGTGAGGTCCATAGAAATCAGTCAGCTGTCTCTTGATTTCATGCTAAAGGTAACTAAATGTTTGAACTCGTATTTGTCTTAGAATAAAGCATGGTGTCAAACTCACACTGGGCCAGATCCAGACCTCAGGGCCCCTTAGGCTAGGTCCATGGGGTCAGCAGCAGCTGTTGTGGGTTGTGCCAGTAGAGAGTATCTGGGAACTGTAAGGTGAGCCAGTTCTGAATCAGGCTCCATACCCCCAACTTCAGGTAACGCTGTGGGCTGGATTTGACCCATGAGCCATATATATTTGACAACCCTGGAATAAAGTATTATATAATAAACTTGGCAAATCAGGAAGTATCACAAATATTCTGCAGAGATGAACAAATATAAAAAGAATGTTTACTTGAGTCACCTTTTTAGTTGGGGATGTGTGGGATGAAGAATTTAATGCATGTCCTTGGACTGTATTCTTTTTTAATTCTTGTTCAGTGCATCAGATTTAACTTAATATTCCTTTCTGGACAAGGTGTTGCTAAATGTGGATTTTGCCTTTAATTTATGAGAATAGTTATTTGTAACGAACAGTGTAAAAGTAACTTATTTTTCTATTACAGATTTTTCACAGTTTCAAGGGGAAAGAACTGTTTATTAGAATCATGCAGTAGCTACTTTATAATTCCAGTATTTATGTATTTATTTTAGCTGGAAAACTGCAGAGAAGTGGTTTCTTGATGCATTAGAGAAAATCAAAGCTATTGGAAATGAGGTGTGTGCTAAATTAAAGTGTATTTAATTTCATATTGAAGTATTTATTAAAATTCCAGGTTCTTGTATTATTCTGCTTTATATAAATGGAACATTAAAATAAATTAAACAAGTTCTAAAACATGACCCTTCCCAACAATATAAGCCTTTGGCCATTCAATTTCGGCATTCTTTAAAACATGAGGATACTATCACATATTCTGTTTTAGCTTTTCCCATGATATGTAGAACAAGCCTCTGGATGAAATCAGAAAGCAATACATTATAATGTGTGCCTCTGATACAGTGGGAAGCAGAATCTAGGTCTGACTCCCGGTCATAGTTTTAATTTCTAGGCTAAGCATTGGCAACCTACAGCTTGCTGGCCAGATCTTTCAAGCCGGGGCTTCAGCAGTGACATTTCAGCAGTAACACTGTGGAGGTGGGAGTTGCCTGCACTGTGGCTGGGTAGTGAGAGAAGCAGTAGTTCCCCATTTAGACATGCTGCCCCATCTTACCCCTGTTGGGTAGTTTCAGCCTACCACGCCTGAACATTGCTGATCCCTGTCATAGACCATTCTTTTCATATCTACATTACTGTTAACACAGATTACTCATTGCAGCAAAATAGTAATACAGATATTCACTTTTCCAAACATTAGACAATTGTAAGAATCAAGAATAGCATTTGTACTTACACTGCCTGCAATAAAGCTCTGGGACTTTGTATGCTATTTAAAAGGATAGGTTAGGGTCTAACATCAAAATGAAATTTTCCTCTATGTTCTTGTATGTCTATGAGAATGTTGTTGGATGTCTTCAAAGAACAAACAGATACTAGGAAAGATGCGCTAGGATGCACTAGTCTTCCTACAAGTATAAGAAATGCAAGAACCTGTAAAATACAATTAAACTGGGGAAGAAGGCTCACATTAAGTAAATAAGTAGTTCACTGGGTGACATTTTTGCTAATTTTACCTGTAAAATGCTTTTTTGGCCGTAGGGAAGGTATGCTTAATATTAAAGAAATTTAAAATGTTTGTCACCTTTTCATTGTTCATGGATATATATTGTCTTCTATGCTTATATCACCTCTTTTCTAATTGGGGATTGTGACACTCAAAGGGGACTGAGAGTCCCAAGGAAATTCCGTTGTTGTAGTGTTTGGGCTTGTGTTAGAAATAAGGTCAACTGCATAAAGATTGGGGACCCACTGACTTATGTTGATTTCTCTAGTGACAGTAACAGGAAGATTTACATGAAGGTTGCCAAGCATATGCTAATAGGTTTGATGGAATATTTTTCAGGTAACAGTTGACAAGTGGGAGCCTTTATTGAACAACTTAGGACACGTGTGTAGAAAGCTGAAGTAAGTTGAAAAACTGAAATGTTTTAAGGCTACATTTACCTAATACACTGTAAAGTCATACGCTACATTGGTTCACTTCATAATTACACTGTGATAGCACTATAAAAGGATGTTTTATAGTAAATGAGAATGTTCCCAAGCATGTCACTCTAGGTAAAAAATTCTTCATGTGAAAATTATGTACAAAAGTTTTTCTTACTGTGGAAATGACATCAAATCATAATGCAGACCAGCTATAAGTATGCATGCTCTTGTATTCTTTGGGGTCTAAAATTAATAATTAAAATATACAGTTAATTCTTGTTCATCCTAAATTCAAGAAAGGATAGGATACTTGAAGGGAACTGTGGATGCATGTAAATCTATACGAAGCAAACTAAAGAATTCTATAATTGTTGAAAGCTTTAAAATATTTTAAAAGCCATCATGATCCCAATAATGTCAAGATATTTATTTTGATAAATGTCATGTTATTGCCTACTCCCGGAAGGCAGAATTAGAAGCAGAGAGTAACATACTCATTATTGTCTGCTCCACCACAGCAGCCTGAGCAATGGCAGTAGCAGGACTGAAATAATTTTGATGCTCTTGCTTACTCTGTATAATGGCCATATCCAAATAGCAAGAAAGATTAAAGCTGATGCTGCAACATTTAGACCTCTACAACAGTTTGCTACACAAGCTGATAATCATCAACACCTACCATTTTGCAGCCAGCTGCAGTTGTGCATGTGCAATGTGCTTTTCAGTAGAAAGACATTCTTTCCACGCATTGGCTGTGGATTTAAACAACCTATTCTTCTCAAAGATTTTTCATGCATAAAGTTTTTTAAAGCCTTGAATTTAAGGAAAAACTGATTTCTCAGTTACCCTGAATAATATCATGATTATCATGAAAGCATGTAATGTATTCCTTTATGTTGCAAATATGAAGCAATAATTTAATTATTTCATATTGTTAGCCTAGGCTAATGGCTTTAGGCCAGGATATTATTGTGTCAGATGAAATATGAATATAGGCAATCAGGACTCATTGTAGAGATGATTGCCTTTTCCTCTAGACCAATACGGCTACAACCTGGATACCTGACGTACGAATATAATTCAGTGACCCTCTGCACCAGAAAACTTACTAATATATGCCATACTTAAACTTAACAGGAAGTATGAAGAAGCATTAGAATATCATCGGCAGGCTCTAGTATTGATTCCTCAGAATGCCTCTACCTATTCTGCCATTGGATACATACACAGTCTCATGGGCAATTTTGAAAGTGCAATTGACTATTTTCATACGGTATGTATGTGCTTTATATTAAGGTGGTACTGTTCACGGATCCGGAATTAAGGTTAAATTTTCTTTTGCATTTAATATAGAAATTCATGAAAAATTATGTATGTGAAAAATAAATGTATTCTTCTCCAACTTAGAGCAGGTTTTGAATACAGAATTAATTTTGTTTCATTTTCCAAGTCATATGTTAATTAGGCTAAAATAGAACCTTCCAGGGTTTATTTTTTATCCCAAATAAATTAAACAGATGCTTCTCAGACATTTAAAACTAATTGAAATATAGAATTTATATAACAAGAAAAGGTTATATATGAACCAGTTTTAGTGATCATGAGGAAAAAATATTTTTAAGTAGTTTTAATTAGTTTAATTTGGGCTTCAAAACCCCTAAAACGCCTTTATAATGGTTAAGGTTAAAAATTAGGGTTCTTTTGATTGCTAATGGATTTCTGTACTTAAATATTTGACTTTCTAAGCCCTTAATTTTGAATATCCTGAGATTGTAGTGAGTGGTTCATTTGACAGAGTAACTGTTCTGCTGGGTTTCTTTTTACCATGCAGTTAGTGTTACATGTATTTCATAGTTTCATAGTTTCATAGTTTCAGGGTCAGAAGGGACCTAATAGATCTTCTAGCCCGACCCCCCGCCAGGGCTCTTCTAGCCCGACCCAAAAAAAAAAAACAAAAAAACCACTCACCCTAAAAACAAAAACGGGACTCAAATGAGTCCAGCCAGGTAAGTATCCAGCCTCTTCTTAAAGATCCCCAGGGTAGGGGCCAGCACCACCTCCCTTGGAAGTTGGTTCCAGCTCCTAGCCGCCCTAACTGTGAAGTAGTTTTTTCGGATGTCCAATCTGTACCTCCTCTCCATCAACTTGTGCCCATTACTCCTTGTTATGCCAGCAGGGGCTAGGGGAAACAGCGTCTCCCCCAAACCCTTCTGGTTCCCCCTAGTGAGTTTATAGACGGTCACCAGGTCCCCCCTCAGCCTTCTCTTGTGGAGGCTGAATAGGTTCAGGTCCCGCAGTCTCTCACTGTAGGGTCTGCCCTGTTGTCCCCGGATCATGCGGGTGGCCCTCCTCTGGACCCTCTCCATGTTGTCCACATCCCTCCTGAAATGGGGCGCACAGAACTGGACACAATACTCCAGCTGCGGCCTGACCAGCGTCGCATAGAGGGGGAGGATCACCTCCCTGGCTCTACTCGAGATGCACCTGTGGATGCACGACAAGGTCCGGTTAGCCCTGCCAACCATGACCTCGCATTGTCGGCCCATGTTCATCTTGGAGTCAATAATGACACCAAGATCCCTTTCCGCCTCCATGCTCTCAAGTAGGGAGTTCCCCATCGTATAAGTGTGCTGCTGGTTCCTACTACCCAAGTGCAGCACCCTGCACTTGTCCGTATTGAAACGCATCCTGTTCCTGTCTGCCCACCCCTGTAACCTATCCAGATCCTTCTGCAATCTCTCTCTCCCTGCTAGCGTGCTCACCTCCCCCCAAATTTTGGTGTCATCAGCGAATTTAAACAGGTTGCTCTCCACCCCAACATCAAGATCGCTGATGAAGAAATTGAACAGCGCAGGCCCCAGGACCGAGCCCTGGGGGACTCCACTACCCACCTCCCCCCAAGTCGAATATGATCCATCCACCACCACCCTCTGAGTGCGACCCTTCAGCCAATCTGCAATCCATCTGACTGTGTAGGCATCTATGCCACAGTCGCCTAGTTTATTAATTAGGATGGGGTGAGAGACGGTGTCAAAGGCCTTGCTGAAGTCCAGAAAGACTACATCCACCGCGACACCTGCATCCATGGCCTTTGTGACCTGATCATAAAAGGCAATCAGGTTGGTCTGACATGATCTCCCCCTAATAAATCCATGCTGATTGCCCCTGAGCATCATCTCGGATGCCGGCCCATCACAAATGTGCTCCTTGATGATCTTCTCAAAGAGCTTCCCCAGGATTGAGGTAAGACTGACGGGCCTATAATTGCCCGGGTCCTCCCTTTTCCCTTTTTTGAAGATGGGGACCACGTTAGCTACCTTCCAATCGTCTGGCACCTGGCCCAAGCACCACGATCGCTCGTAGAGCCGTGCCAGGGGCCCTGCAATAACCCCAGCCAGCTCCCTCAGCACCCTGGGGTGGAGAGCATCCGGACCCGCTGACTTGAACGCGTCCAGCCCCTCCAGAAGCTCTCTAACCCGGTCCTCCCCAACCTGAGGTCTGAAGGCGATCCCCTCGCGTCCGGCTTCTATCACAGCAGGGAAGTCCCGTTCCCTGCACAAGAAAACGGAGGTGAAGAATTGGTTAAAGAGATCCGCTTTATCCTCTGACGCAACCACCAGATTGCCCCGCATATCCTGCAGGGGCCCCACATTACCCGGCGCCGCCTTCATCCTCCCAATATATTTGAAAAAGGACTTTTTGTTATCCTTAATCCTGGACGCTATTTAGCATTGGCTTTATCTTAATTTATGTTTTTTGAGCTGCATATAAATGAAGTCCATTTTATCTATAGGGACACTTGTTCACAAATACTTACCTTAAAAGCTTTGAATAACATATTTTGTTAGTCTTCCTTTATAGTGCATGAAAGATTGCACTGTAGTATATGGAGTAGAACAGAAGGGAAGTGCACTGTAACTGGATTTTGGGCTTTTTTTAATTATTAATTTTAGTACCTTTCTGGCCAGTTAAATTCATTCATCATCTTGGTTGAAGGGGAACCTTTGTTTCATAGTGAGGATCAGTTTTACAAAAGGTTAATTTAGCTGTCATGATGTAAATATTTATTTCTGATGCTGAACATTCTGTATCTTTTTACAGGCACTTGGTCTTAGGAGGGATGATACATTTTCTGTTACCATGCTTGGACATTGCATAGAAATGTACATTGGTGATTCCGAAGCTTACATCGGTAATTCTGTTGTTTATTACTATATAAGAGAGCAATATGAGCAGTAAAAAAAAAAAGACCTGTTAATGTTCGTTAAATAAAAAATCTTCTAGTGCTACAGTAGTACCCCAGCAGAAAAATTCCCTCCAAAGTCCAGCTGCTGCTGAATCTTCCTGCCCCGCTCCCCCCAAAAGGCAGTTACATCTTAGTGGGAAGAAGCTAATGTAAGGGTCAAAAACCGACATAGAATTTTGTACGTAAAATACTGTAAAGCCTATCCAGAATACTGGAAAATATTTACTCCAATATGATGGCGTGTTTGGTTACCACTTGCTGAACTTCTAGGTGTCGTGAATCAGAGCAGCCGCCGGCAGCCGCCTGACTCACACCGGAGTGTTTAGATTTAGAGCTCGGCAGGCGGGTAGTGATGGATGGAGTGGAATTAACCAGGCACAGACGCGTGTAGGTTACAGGAGTTTGTTTACTTACGTCGCCTAGATAGTGATGGACGACGCAGGCGAGCCTTTGTTCCGTTACCGCTTCGGTTACAGAGTCAACTATACGCACGCAGTTAAATGACGTACGCTGACGGGGTGATTGATTAGGAATTGATCAATTTCCCAATTCTCTGGTGACAAGCACAGGTGTTTCCTGTGAGATCCCCAGAGCTCTCCGACTTGGGCGGAAACCGTTAAACTATTTATAGGCAGAGGTGTTTGACAGAGATGCCCAATCGTAAACCGTTATATGGAATCTTTAATTTTTGGCAGGTGGCATCTCTTTGTCTCCTCAAGTTACAAGGTAGTGGGTTAGGTTTTTCTACCTGTTACGTGTGTGCTACGTGTGAGGAGCTTACGTTTATCTTTGACCAATTATATATAGTTTCCCCCAGCATTTTATTTCAGCTGACCAATTATCTGTAGTACACCACCAGCGTTTTGTTTCAAGGAATTTCTTGGCAGGGAAGTCTTTTAACCCTTAATAGTCAAATGAAGATGATTTGAATGGGATCTCTTGCTCAGTGGCATGGGCACAAGTTAATTGGGTTGTGACACTAGGGAAGCTTATTTTAGAAGTCAGGGTAGATATTCACACTTATAGGTTAACATAAGCCCTCTACACACGTAGCTAAAGACGTGATTGGATCTAACGTGTGATCCACACAGTGGCACCTCGTGTCAGGCCACACATGCATGGTAGGAGGCAGAGTTGTAGGAGCGCACATTAGATCTAATCGTGCCTTATTGCCAGTGTAGGGAGAGCCTGATTCTGGGCTCCCCCTGGACTGGCAGATAAGTAAGCTCCCATGGCTGGGGGCCCCCTTTGCTGAGGGGGCTTCCAGCTGAAAAGGCCACATGCAGCCAGGGCCAAGAATCCTGCACCTGCCAGGGCTCGGCCAGGAACATGAGTCCTATCAGGCCACAGATTCTCAGTCCCAGCCGCTGCAGTCTCCTCACAGACTGCCTGCATGTGCAAATTAAATCTGGACAGAAACCAGCTATAAAGTTATTATACATATTCAAGCCATAACTTTATAGCTGTTTGGACCTTCTAAGGCGGGATAGTTAATTTGCATGTGTAGCCAGTCTAAATTTATTGCACAGTGAACAAGGTAATTGCGCCATAGATGTAACATGTAGAAGGGACCTAAATAACTTATTTTAGCTCACTTTTTACAAATAATTTCTGTAGCTATTTTACAAAGTACAGTGATGCTTAAGGCAGAGATGGTTCAAATAAAGGAACAAGTTATAGACAAGAATGAAGAATTTTGAGAGAAAAAGCAAACAACACATTAAAAATGGAAAGAGTAGAAAAAATGTTTCATCTTTTCATAAGAGACAACCAGGGATTGTTTGTTTAAAATTATATTAACTATTAGGGTTTAGAGAGAAGCCTGAAAATAATCAAAGTGTAAAAGTAATACCACGTGTAGGAGTTGGTCACAAATGATAAAAATATGTCTGAGAATTTTGGTTTTGTTTTGTTTTTTAGTAGTCTATGAATATCACAGTTGTCATTTGGAATGGGTTAGGATTAACACATCTGTTGTCTCCCCTCACCTGGAAATTCAGGATTATACAAATGAAAAATAAAGTCTACATGCCTATAATTTTAAGATGTTCGTGAAATACAGAAATATTTTTCCACTTGCAACTTCATAATGCACAATTTTTCTGTTGTATTGGACTTAGGCATTTCTCCATAGTGAATAATTATTCATTTAATATACTGTGACATATGGTAATGAGCATGAGTGCAGTTAGAAAGTAGCATCTGTCTACTACCTGTTGCTATTTGCATCAGTGAATGGGTTTGCCAGTGTGAAAATTGGTTGGACAAGCATTTTCTCTAATTTTTCATATTGTAAATGTATTATTGCAAAGAATATATCCTGAAGTACCATATAGCTGTATGATTGTAAGTTTGCATCTCTGTCTTAAGGAACTGACAAATTAGTTGTTTCACCTACATTGCTGGCTGTAGCCTGCAGCCCCAGTAGTTTCTAAGCATGCCAGATGTGGGACACAACAGGGAACTGTACAGCTGTCTGATGGTTGAAACAGCACATCTTTTTTTAAATCTTTCCAAAACAGTTTCAAATAAGCACCTGAAGTATCACAGTTATTTGCTGATAGACTCAATATTTTATAAGATAGTAATCTTTGCAAAATTCACTTGGAGAGTAGTAACCGTTTTGTGTGTTTTTAGGAACAGAAATTAAAGACAAATTAAGATGTTATGACTTTGATGTTCACACCATGAAGACATTAAAGAACATTATTTCACCTCCCTGGGATTTCAGGGAATTTGATATAGAAAGACAGACTCTGTTTGAAAGTGGTATTGTGACATTGGAAGCACCACATCAGAAGAAAACTACAGATGCCAGTCGTCCATTAGAAGAAACCTTTGAGATTGAAATGAATGAAAGTGATATGATGTTGGAAACATCAATGTCAGATCATAGCACATGACTCTAAACACTGGAACAGATCTCATCTTTGTCAAATTGTAACACACTTTATTTTTGTGGTTTTTTTCCTCTCCTTGTCATGGATTTGGGAATTTGATATTTTTATATGAAACCCAACTACTCTATATGTAACACCGGAAGTAATGCCTGCCTTAAGAATGATATAATATTAATTCCCAAAGGTTAATTCAAACTTTGTTTCTACAGAATAATCATACACAATGAAATAAGTAAAATGCATGTATTGTTCTTAGAACTGTTTACTGTATCCTGTGACTGCCATTAAGACTGTGAAAGCTTAAAAATAGTACTTAAAATAGTTTACAGTTCATTTCAAATTGAGTAGCTGAGACCTGTTGTAGTGTTGTTGTGGCTGCAAAGGTTTCTCTCATCTGTGAGGAACATACCATTAATTGTTGAAAAATAACTAGAGTTTTGATGCTAATATATTTTAGTCTTTTAAGACAGGAATTATTGCAACAATCTTCATTATTTTGTTTAACCCCTGCTTACATTCAGGGAGAGCCTTTTTTTATCAATTCAATCGAATTTGGTATATATTAAATTAATGTCAAAGCTTTTAAAGCATGGTAGTGAATGTGTGTTGTCCTGTTTAATCACTTTTGTTCATTAAAATCATACTCGTATTTCTATGCTATATTACTAGACAATTTAAGCAGAACTGATTAGGCAGGAAATGTGAATTGCACATATTTGGAATAGCAAAGAAATTTTGAGTTGCATCTGATTACAATTTTCTGAAATCAGTGATGCCCTTGGAACTATTTTTAAAAGTTAGTTTGACAATAAACACAATGCAAGCCACATAGTACTGCTGTAGGGCTGTAGAAATTCTCTACCTTGACAAAATAAGTGAGTGTAAAAGAAAAAGGGAAGTGTGTGTACAGTTTTTATGAAGTCTCTAAACCTGTGGTATTTTACTTTTGAATATGCTACTTGTTCATTGAAAATAGTGAAGCAAAGTTTGTCTTTCATGAACTGAGATGCTGACTAAACCATAAATCATTCAATAAACTTAGCAAGGCCTTCTATGCTTCTGCTTAAAAAGAATATTACACATTTTATATGAAACTTCTCCCTTCTTCCCTATCCATAACTGCTTAAGTCTAAGTTAAACAATCGGTTCCCTGTTAACTGAGTTTTGTGTTTAATGTGAGGACAGCTAAGAACGAAACAGATGAAGTATATAATCTTAACTTTACTCCAGTCTTTCAGAGCTCAGGAACCATCGAATATACTTCACAAAATTTTTCTTCAAATAGGAAGGTGATTTGTATGACTAAAAGTTCATTAGGTCATAGGTCTAATAGGTCATAAGGGACTTTGAAAAGGAGCACTTTGTAGAAGAAGCAGCCCCTCTTCAGCAATAATCACTACATTTGTGTGTAGTGGTGGGTCCCAGGTGGTATTTGTATTTTATGTGATCTGTTTGTGTAGGAGATGGTGTAATTTTAAGTGTATGCTAGATGGTTTTGTTGTGCAGGGTTTTAGAGGTCTTTGTTCTTTTCTCACTGGCATCTGGGTCCCCTGGGAGTTTTGAGAGGATATGGGAAAAGGGAATTTGGTGTTGTTCGTTTTTTCTTTTGCACAAGATTTTTTTTTTTTTTTAAATGTAAGGGGCAGCAGATGGCAATTGCAGCTGGAAGAGTTACTGGATATGAGACCGGAAATGAGAATGATAGGAAGTGACAGCTGTAGAGACATTTATCATCCTTGAATAGGTTTCTGATGCCAGCTATATCTGCATGAAGTGTTGCTTGACAGAGGTGGTCAAAGGACTGGAACTGCGGCAAGGCAGTGATGGAGGTCAGATAGGATTTGAGCAGGTAATGCAAGAAAGGAGAAATGAAGCTCCATATACAAACAAAAGACCTGATGCCTATCTAAAAAGATGATTGGATCTTCAGAACAGGGGAGCCCTTGAGAGCGTGTGACTAAAAATAAGGCAAAGGAAGGAACCAGCTGGTGGAGGTGAAATAGAATTGAGGTTTAGTTTGTTGGTAAACAAAGAAGATGGGATGGCGTGGGAGAAAAGAGAAGAAGCTCGTTCAAAGAGAGGGGTGGGGAGAATGGAGATAATGAATCATCTTAGCCCAAGAAGGATAGAGGAAGGACCAAGGAAGATAAAAAAGACAGAATGTGGTAATTGGATACATAAAAGGATAAAAAGGAAAAGTATCAGGGATACAAATACCAGGAAAAGGCATTTCTATGGAATCAGTGATTCACTGATTAATAATAATCAGACCACTTATAAGGTACAACCTGTAAAACAGAAAGGAATGCTATATATTGGAAGCAAAGATATGGGATAGACCTAAGACTGAAGAGGATTTTCATGGGAGCAGACATTAATTGGCCTTCAGGTGAGTCATAAATGACATGACAATTACTCACTGACAGGTGCAAAGGACAACTACAGTAGTGTAGGGAAGCTGTTTAAACTTCTAGAAGTTCAAGTGATTTTTTTTCAGTGGGATTCTTCCTGTCCCAAGAGAAGGTAGGAGAAGATTATGACAATTAATAGATGACTCAGAAGATTGGTGCTCCTGGGAAGAGTTTTGGATGTCTGATCACTGGCTAGTAATTGTGGATAGGGAACTTTTTCTCTAGGGATCAGCTTCACTTGGGATCAAGGTTGACCTGACTGAGGAATGGCTTTAATCAAGGAACTTGAAGTGAGGGGGAAGCTGGGGAAAGTTCAGAATGAGAAATAAAAATGAACAGTAACTCATTATGTAGGATGTAAAACCAGATGTTATAGGAATAATGGAAACATGGTGGAATAGTAGCAACTTTTCTGCGATTCCTCCTTGATAGGTCATTTAAGAGCTCCCAATTTAGCTCAATTGGTGTCTTACTACATTTCCTTTTCTCTTTTCATTGAGTTGGTTTCTACTTGTGCCCTTTAATACTGCCGCTTCCTGAATTCCTTTGTCCAATAGACTCACTTCGCATGAAAGTTTACCTACCAATTCTCTATGTGTGTTGATTTTGTTTATTCTACTGTTCTGATTTGAGTAGAAGTTTTTCACATTTATGCTCCTACAATCTTATTTGAACCTGGTTCTTAGTAATTGCTCTTGGCACTGTTAAGGAACCAAATGGTAGTTGAATTGCGTAGAACCTTTCTTATTTCTTGGTATCAAGACAGGTCAAACAGTTGCATGGTAGTCCTGTGGTTCCAGGAAGGTAAAAGCCATTCTGAAACTGAACTGGGTTAAGGTATTTAGTCGTCTTCAGACCAGAATTGGGTGAACCCAATTGAACCCTGCCCCAGATGAGAGAAAGTATTTAAAAGAAAAAACAATTGCCCTATAATCCAGAGGAACTTCTAAGTAAACTTAAAGTGGCTACTCCCAAACAGAAATTATAGTCAGATGCTGATGGCTGGCCTACTGCAGAAAGATGCTGATCCATGCTGGTTTACTAAAAGGTTTCCCAAGCAGGAAACCTGCTATTCTGCACTTGGCTTGTTCCCTGAACAGCTTCTCCCTAACAGTCCTACATAGTTTACGTGCTGTCTGTGAGGAAACTAGCTGTCTCTGCTGCCAGGACTACGCTGCTAATCCAGCTGGGAATGGGATGTTCTAGTAGCTGTCCCCACATCTAATTTGTTTAGTATTAATATCAAGCTATGCAATGTGTTACAATGACCAAGTCAAAACCAACAAATCAATCATATGAGATGCACTGTAGAATTGGAGTCAAATGAGCAGATTAATTTAGTAATCATATTAATGAAAACTCTTTATATGAGAGGTAGGCACTTCTTTTCCAACTGAGCCAGATTAACTCACCCTGAGTCAGAGGCAGGCAGGCATTTGTTAGGACCCAGTGGTCACACCCACTTGTCTGTGAACTGGCACGGGGAGAGTGTCTGCTCATCCCCACCATGCCATGGGACGAGTACCCCAAATCACACTGTAGCCAAAGTCCCGCATCTCTGTGTTGGACCCAGTGGTTCCATGGCGAATCTGGTCCATAGACTAGGTTGCCAATTTGCTGCTTTATACAAATTGTAAGATGGCTGTCTTGGTTGTAAATGTAAGCGGAAGAACTTGACTGAAGTTAGTTGACTTGCTAGTTAGCTGATTTCAGTATTAAGCCTCTTCTCTAATATCCTGTTATCTAATGCCAGAACACAGCTTCCCAGCCAGTAAAGCTTAGACTTCAGGTTTTATCTCTGAACACAGCTTCACAGCCAGTAAAGCTTAGACTTCAGGTTTTATCTAGTGGCTTTTCCTTTTTCTCCCTTCACTGCAACAGAAATAAGATACAGACATTAACAGAATGCTGTTTGTAACAGATGTTTCACAGCTTTTATTTGCTAGGATTACAAGTACCAATCTTCTGTTTCCTAGGATGTTGAGAAGATAGAGCTCTTTGAACCTGGAACTGTCGATAAGTTCTTCACGTGTCCATGTCTCATGTGGCTTGTTAGCTCCCTGCATTTGAACTTGGATTTTTTTTGAGCCACATCTGCATCCTGAATGTCTTTATAACTCTGGATCTGAGGTCATTTTTGACAGGCCCTCGCATCAACTTTTGTCTTTGAGTCAGACTTTTGTGAGTGAGCTTCACACTCACTATAAAACATGTTCCTGTGATGTAAGACAGACAAGTACTTTTTTTTCATAGCATTTCATTTTTAAAAATCTGAGAAACTTGCTGTGTGCAAGGTTTAGCCCTTATGGCAGACAAGAAGTCTCCAAAATCTAAAAATGTTCTATTGCTTGCCCTTGCAGATGGTGTGTCCTCAATTATGGGCATACCAGATGTTGATTATGGGGATTGTGTCCTTGAGAGAGGAGCTGTTTGCTTGTAGTTCTCCAAGGAAAATACAGAGGTGTGAGAGATTTTTATTAGTCATCTTTGCAGGAGAGGTCTGTTATCCCTCTTCAGACTTTGGAGGGGCAGAGACTGCAACCTCAGAGTAGTCCTCTTCAAACATGCTTTCACCTTGTGAAAAAAGACGCTAGCTTTGCAAGGGGCATAATTTTAGACTGAGCTTGCTAGGTTCTGGCACTAAAAAGACAGAAAGACAGTAATTTGGCCCCTGAAAAAAATGGCTTGAGAAGAATCTCCCTTACAACCAGCTCGTTTGCAGTTACATGCATTACCCAGTACCCACAATATAGTCTCACAGCTACCAGTGTTCTCATTTCTGAGTAGGGTGACACTAACATTGCATCTCCCATAGTACCATTGTGTCTGATGCAGCATCTTCATGGCACTAGGAGATCTTGTTTTCTGCACTACCCAAATCATAACTAGAGCCTGGTAGTTAATGGTGTTAGTCTGAAGTCAGGCAGAAAGCAGGGCAAGCTAACTTGTTCAGAGAGATGCTTTTGTAGGTGCTATACTTCATCAGATGCTATGATGAAGTAGGCATTTGCTTATGAAAGCTTAAGTTAGTCTCTAAGGTACTGTCCTGCACTCCTTCAATCAAATGTGTTAATGGTGGTAAAGGTTCCACCTGCCGTATCAAGGACCCCTCCAGCTCAGTAACCAGCTCCTGGATAGTACAAATTTGTGTTTAAGATGATCTCTGTTTTTCTGGGATAATGCACAAGTTTGGAAGATGTAAAGAATCTCTCTCTTGCTACTTAAAAAGTTGAGAAACACTGCTCTAGACACAGCTGCTTCGATGTTCTCTGCTGCTTGTGCCAAAGCCAGGAATTGGCTTATTTGATGCATATTGGGGGTCGGGGCCTTATGTCCACAGTGCATCAGTTAGTCCCTCCCCCTACTATGAAAAGAGGGGGCAGTGTGTCCCTCACCCAGAAGACTGACAGCATACTGGGCTGCATTGGTAGGTGTGTTGCCAGCAGATGGAGGGAAGTGATTTTTTTTCCCCTCTATTCAGCATTGGTGAGGCCACATCTGGAGTAATGTGCCCAAGTTTGCCCCCGGCAAAGGATGTGGGCAAATTGGAGAGTCCAGTGGATGGGGGATGGGAGGGGGGCAGGACTTCTTAGGAGAGACTGAGGGAAGGGGCTTATTCTGGAGAAGAGGAGACGAGGGATTTGAGAGCAGCCTTCAGCTCCCTCAAAGCTGGTCACAGAGAGAAGGAGCTGGACTGTTCTCAGTGGTGGCAGATGAGAGAAGGAGCAGCGGCCTCAAGTTGCAGCAAGGGAGGCTGAGGTTGGACAGCAGGAAAAAACTCTCCCGAAGAGGGTGGTGAACAGGGATTCTGGTTTTCTCTGATTAAAAAAAAAAATCCCCAATTTTCAGACTTAAAAAAAGTAACCCCCAATCCATTTTCCATGATTAAAGTGAAGCACCACTATAACATACGAGCGGATTTTGGGTTACATTAGTTGACCCCGCGCGGGACGCGGGAGGGAGGCGTGAGACGCGCCTCACACGGGGCTCCAGGTACTGGCAAGGAGCTGGGGTGCGGCCGGCGCTCGGGTGGGGGCGGGATTCCGAGGGAGCGCCCCCCCAGCATCTCGCTGAGATCTCGTGAGACTTCCTTGACAACAGAGCCCATTCTCGCGATATTTTCTTCCGCCCCTCACCCCCGCCCCTTCCCCTTTCCGCGGCGGAACAGCTGCAGCAGTAGTCAGATGAAGTCGGAGCGGGAGGCTGCGCCGGGGTTCGGGCCTATGCGCGGCGGCGGCAGCAGTGGAGGTGGAGGGCGGGTCAAGCGACTCATGGAGCCTCCGCTCCGCCGG